ATCTATACGTTTGATTCGCGGTGAGCTAAGATATCAAACCTAACAACTGCAAAACATTAAATTATGGTAAAATTCAGGGGGGCATGCCCCCATGAAACCCCACTCCCTATTTTTATTAGGTCAGGGGGGCAAGCCCCCCTGAAACCCCCCTACTCTTGTGGCCCAAACCCGTGAATAAAATTGCGGGGTGGGAACTACCGTAAAAGCGCCAGACAACTTGAGTTCGCAGATTCTTCACAGCTCAGTAGGCCCCCATAATATTACCCATCTGTAAAAAGCAGAAGTAGCGGTTCAATTCCTATTTACCAAGCAAATGTCGAGCAGACTCGTTATTACCTCAAGATGCTTGAAGACAGAGAGAAGAATTTCATCTGGGAGCTCCTTCAAGATACCCATTCTGCTAGCAAATGCCGAGTAGCGTCATTAGCAACCATGTGGGGCATGTGTTTTGCTATGGTATAGTTTGGTGCTCCTCGGGTTTGGGAGTGGAGAGTTTTTCCTTTTCTCTCTCAACATGAGAAGTGATTCAGTTGGGCAGTTCAGTGACATTTTCAAAGAGAAACTAAGGTTTGTCTCACTGATTACTGTGCATTTAAAATGTTCATGATATCTTTGTCGGTTCCAAACGTAATCTGTTCGTTTTCACATCATTATATTTCCCATTTTCACGTAAGAAACGTGACGTTTGGCGAATATACGAGGGCATCAGCAATAATTCAATATCTAATTGACCGGTTTGCAAAATTCATAGATGAAAATATTTGTATCAATGTTGTCTTAACGTGTGTGCTTTTTAAAAACAATGTGAATATCATAGTACGAAAAAACTTGCAAGTTAGGACCATCCTTATTTTACCTTATTTTACACGAAAAAAAATCTTTTTATAACTAAAGGTCTGATTTACGTAAATCATATTGAAATGCTTATACGCTCTTTAGGCACACTATACGTTTTGTGTGCATAGACAATCTATCCTTATAGATCTATATTTAATTTAATTTAAATGTTAAAGGATGTGAGCAGATGCTCCCGTAATAGCATTTTGACAAACAGTTTTAATGCCCGCATTTTGTCACGCTCTGTGAGCACAATTAAAGAAACGTTTTGATAGTAACCTCCATGTAATGGACTGATTTTCATTAATGGCAAACCAGCGTGTTCATATCATTGAAGCCTGAATATTTATGCGTGCAAGTTCAATATAAATGTTATCGCTTTGGAGATAATGCCCTATAAATTAACATTTTGGACACTAATGTCAAACTATTATGGGGGCTCCAGTGGCCTGGGCTAGAGGTTAAGGTGTTCGCCTCTCATTCAAAGGTCCCGTGTTCGAATCCGCGTAGCGGCAGAAAATTTTTCCTCTCTAAAATTGTCTCCTTTCACCCCCTTTCCTGCTCGCTAGAAATAATATTATGCACGTTAAAGATCCCTTGGAAGTCCAAAATTGATAAGAGTTGACTTCGACCGCCACCCGGACAAAATTCAAAATTTTCTACCAACTGAAAATGTCAGGTGTGTCCCGTGCGCTCATATTATTTTATGACCTTATTATGTACAATGTAGTTGCGAGCGCCGTAAAACACTTATCAGAAAAAAACCCGCTTTATTTTGCTGACACAGCCCATCTGCTATAGGCCGTCCATTAAAAAAAAGAAAGAAAAACAGCTCTCGTAGTATAACATTTGATTCCCCTCAGGTTTAACTAGAGATTTGGAAACTAAAATACATTTAATCTATTAGCTTTGTGTTTTCGTGTGATATTTCTTGGAATTTGTTGCATCATATTATTTATGATCTAATTAATGCACATCTCTGTGGAACGAAATGACTTTTTCTGTCTTCTTATGGCAACCAAACATCAAGGTACTTACAGTACTGTTCTTCTTTCCAACAGACGGTAAACAGAATTACCATTGTCTCACGGTCTGACCCATTTCTGAGGCAAGGCTCACAACATAAACAACAGCTTAATTGTGACTGTAGTTTCTTTTTTCTTTACTTCGTCCTCTTTAATTGCTTGTAATTTTAGTATTGCTGCGATCGTACAGGTATACATTTTCAGGCCTATGTTTGTTTGTTTGTGTGTGTGTGTGTATGTGTGTGTGTGTGTGCGTGTGCGTGTGCGTGTGCGTGTGCATGTGCGTGTGTGTGTGTGTGTGTATGTATGTGTGTGTATGTGTGTATGTGTGTGTGTG